ATTTTGGTTAAATAATTTATTGGGAATTATTTTTTTAATATTTTTATTAGATTGACCTATTTTTTAGAAATAGGCATTCAAAATTTCAAGTGATTTGATTTTGTAGAAAAAATACTTAAAATTCAAATACAATTGTGATTATGATAGTGCATTATATTCACTTTGCGCCATTGGGCTTGTGAAGAGTCTCGAGTTTATTTGAAAAGAGTGTTCATTATTATATGAATATACAAACTTGTCTTTTATAGACAAATTACAAATGACAATAATAGAAACTTAATCATAGATACCTAAACTATATCCAAACTTATTATAAAGTACATATCTTCTACCAACCCTTCTCATATATACTGATTGTAATATGTGCTTTCTATGTTAACCCGATACACAATATACACTTTTTTTTCACATTTCCCCTCAAACTTAAGATGTTACGAGGGAGAGCAGCTAGAGTTTGAACACTAACTTGCAGAAGCAAGTAGTTGGATCTTCAAGTGCATACTTAAATTGCTTTATCAATAAGCACAGAAATCAACAGCGGAGCAGCAGCGAATCAATATGCCTCAAAAACAAGTGGCAAGAATAGAGTGGTAAATCAGAGTTCAACAATAAATAAAAAACTTCAGATCTTCATCGGAGACAAAAAAGTAATCGAGACAGTTGAGAAAACAGAATAACACTTGGAAGAGCCAACATAACTCGGTGTGGATTCGAGACAGATTCAATAGCTCGCATACCAGAACAAACGTGATCGAATAACATAACAACAAACTCGATCATACAAATAAGAATAGACATCGTGAAGATGAACACCAAAAACCTTCTTTTTTTTTTTTAATTGGAGTCGAATAGAAAAAAAGAACTATGGTTTTTATCATGAGAGAGAAAGTGCACCCACTACAAAGATGGCATGTCACTACACTTGTAGTGTGGTCTGCCACACCACCAAAGAAAATCCAAACAAAAAGCTTAAATGGGTAGAAAATGCCTTTACACTCCTTCAATACACGTGGCAAAAGTAAGGCATGTGAAGAGTCTTCGGTTCCCCTAAAGAGACTCCCTGTGTTCATTATTGGATATAAATATACTTGCTTGTCTTTTAGAGACAAATTACATGCGATAATAGTAGAAACTAAATCATATAGTCAGACTTATCATAAATTATAGGATACAATATCTTACTATTTTTATATTTATTGATTATAATATACACTTTCTATATTAACCGGATATATAATATATACTTTCCTTTCGCATAGCTTACACTATTGCAGGTAACTAGTGAGCTAACAAAGTCTTTTCGCGTAAAAAAAATTCCTTCTTTATAACTTTATTTTTTCATTAACTTAATATACAAAATTTTAGTTCAAAGATAAGCCAGCACATTAACAGTTGGAGTAAATTAAGAATCTTGATTTATTTATTTATTTATTTTTTTATAAAATTTTACCAATGGGTTCCCTTAAAAAAAGTATATGAAAAAATACAAGTAATATATTCCACAAAAAAAAAATCAAATCAATTGTATCTCAAAATAATAGGTAGAATTAGAGGAAGAGTAACCCAATGAATTTTTCATTTTTTCTTTAAACTCATAGCGTCCTTATAAAGAAAAAGAGAGACTAAATGATACTAAAGATTTAGATAGCTAGGAATTTAGTGTGAGATTCGAACTTGTTTAAGCATTTTTTTGCTTATTTTATGCATAAAGAAGTTTGATTAATTTCATATTTTATTTTTATTTTTTATTCCATTGGTGTATACAACATTGCATTTTGGATGGATTGCTATTTCACATATTTGGGTATTTGCATTTTCTTTTAATTAACTACAATCCTATATTGGGTTTTTTTTTTTTCTTTGAAGGGAAATCCTATACCTTAGTTCACAGTTCTTGTTATTGACGAATTAGTTATTGTGTTTGAAATTATTTTTGTTGTTTTATTTTATGCTCCCAATAAATTTACGATATGTTTTGTGCTGTGACTACAAAATAAGCATTGTTGCTGGATTTATTGAAAGTTCGAATAAAATTTGTCAAGTATTACTCTATTGACACTAGTAAGGCTATAAAATTATTGTTTAATTATTTTAATATATCTATATAATAATTACAAATCATAATCTTATATTGTGTCATCTTTACATATTTGATTTTTTCTTTTTTTAACAAAATCTAAAATATTCATGATTCTATAACTTATTTTATTTTTTAACAATCCATATTTTTGACCTGATATTTTTTTCCCAATTTTTTGAAATAAAGCCAATTTATTACAGATATTTTTATCGACCAATATTTTATTATTTCTAGACTTGCTACTATTAGTCGCCTTAATTGATTCTCATCGAGATCGACAAATCGCCATATTTTAAAAGACTAATTTAGTTGTAAAAACAAATCAAAAGACGAAAAGAAAGAGGTGATATTGGATAATTCGGTTTTGGTATATAGCTGGATGCAGCTGATCTTTGAACATTAAAAGACCTGTTACCGGACCAAAACTCAGCACTATTAATAAGTCCAAATAAACATGAGAAAGAGAGATGGGTTGTTGAAATAGCAGTTTGGCATGTAGCTGGATGCAGCTCATCTTTCAACATTACAAGTTCACAACACCTGTTCCTCGACCAAAAGTCACCATTATTAATCACCACAAATAAACATGAGAGAGAGAGAGAGCAGATTTGAAGATTTCTGTGTATTTATGTGCACGAGTCAATGAGAGAGAGAGCTTTCAGGGAAAGAGCTGAGAGATTATCAGCTCCCAAAATAGAATTTGATGGTAATCTGGCATTGGGGGAGTAGAGAAATTGGAATGCAGTGATGTGGAAGTGGACGTGGATGTGGGTGTGGATGTGGGTGAGCAGAGAAGCAGTGGAAAATTAGTGCGCCCGCCACTAGGCTGGAAGAAGTTGGGAAGATACGCCTGGAGAGAAAATTGGTGTGGATTTAAGGGCGTGTTTGCTTTTCAGTTTTCACCCATCCGGTACGTTTTTAGATCCGGATCTGATCCGATCGTCAATGAAATCCCACATAATATTTTTAGATCCGGATCCGATCTAATGAATTCATACCATACCAAGATAGGTACGAGTCCAAGTCCAAGTCCACGCCCCATATCCTTTTGTGGGTCTGGTCAATCCCGATTCCTACTTTTTGAACTTAAAAGTTGTATTGGAGCAAATACACTGGAGGATAATTTCAGCACGAATCTGTTATAAAATAATAGGATTAAAGACATTCATTGATTAATCCATACGACGGCCTGGAGAATAACGATTTTGAGAGTGGCTCACCGAGCAGAAAGAAAGAGAGAGGGGGACAGGCACCGAGCCAAAAAGGACGAGAGAGTAGTGGCGAGTTTAGAGAGAGAGAGAGAGAGAGGGAGACTCATGGACCGCCGTCGGACCCACCTTCTCTCCACTATCGTTGCGTGCATGAAGGTCGCAGAGCCCACCCACCGCTCTCATCTCCTCCTCCTCAACCAAAACTCCCATCATCGATGTCTCTCAATTTCTCTACCTTAATACGCTTCCAATATTATAACCCATCAGCGATCATGGTTTCTTTTCAGTGATTAACCACTAACTTGAATTCATAAGACTGGTAATGCTATATCTTCTATCTCTGCGTAGGGCTTTGCTTTATTGAGAGGTTGGTTTTTTCTCCATTCCTTTTCCTTGAAGGATTTCATGGGGAATTGCTGGTTTGGATGCAAGCCAAGTTTGTGTAAAGTCTTCACTAACAGCAAATCAGGTTGCTCTCTCTCTCTCTCTCTCATGTTTATAACCAAAATGGTCTTCTATATAGAAAGTTTTAGGTACCTTATTAAGTTTGGATAGAGTGAAATACTCCATGTTGTTTACTTTTGTTTGTTAAAATTTAAAATATCTTTCTGGTTTGAATTGTTCCTTGCAAGTGGTTTCTCTCTCTCTCTCTCCCTCTCACACACACACACACACACACATCCATGAATTATTTTGAGGCTTCTGACTTCTTCATTGTACAATGGATTTTTTATTTGGACCAGTAAGTTGAATGCCTTGCACTGCTCGCTCTCGGCAATAACTTTTGTTTTTCTGTATAATCAATATTTTTGCTGTTAATAGTATAACTAATCAATGTTATTGTGATTTGCGAGCATGGTGATATTATTGTGTTCTATTTCATATTCAGCTCTTCTTGAGTTTGAAATTGAAGGACTATGCCCTTACACTTCAAATTCAAATCAACAAATCAGGGGGTTTTATTTTCTATCTTTTCAAGTTCATTTGATCCAATATTTGTGGTCTCTCTTATATCTTCTTCTCATGCTAGAATTGATTTCTGTAGGATCAAAAGTTGTTTTTTATGATAGTATCATGCCAAGCTAATGGATTTTTTTTTTATTTTTCCTGTTATTTCTATTTAATTTAATCATTCATTTCATACGTTAAATAATTTAAATTATCAGAGAGAACTAACAGAAGTGTTACCCAAATACCAATTAGGCTTTCTTCTTTTGTATTCTGGTATCAAAGCTGTGATATTTGGAGGCTTGTAGTATCCACTCTCCCCTCCCCCACTTGCAAAAAAGTAGTGGGCTCTTGAACATGTTGAATCTCTGATTCAGTATTCTGTCGGTTATTTCAACCCACAATGATGAATTTCTTTCTGCTTTTTTTTGTTTTTTTTTTGGTGGGGGGCGGAGGGGAGAGAGAGAGAGAGATCTCCAACTGAAGAAATTCTTTTTCTGTGGTCAGATTCCCCAAGAAATGAGAGTCGACCAGTGAAGGTAGAATGCAAGGATAATGACAATGACTTGCCTTCAGATCCCAAAGAAATCGAGGATCTTTGCCGGAATTCAGCAGCCAAGCATTTGATCATGTTTACTTACAATGAGCTAAAGACAATTACTGGCAATTTCAGGCTGGAAAATGTTTTGGGGGAAGGTGGATTTGGAAGTGTGTATAAAGGGTCCATTCCAAGAAATATCAGAGAAGGACTTGAGCCACTTCAAGTCGCTGTTAAGGTTCATGATGGACTAAATAGTAATCAAGGCCACAGGGAGTGGCTGGTATTTCTCCCCACTCTATCCAGATATTTTTCTCACAATTACTATCGAACTTTCATTGCATGATTTCGGTATTCATGTACTTGCCCTGTTCCCTGTTCATTTTTGGGCAGAGCATTGTGTATTTGTGTGTGCGTGTTCTAGGTATTGTTCTTCCTCTGAGATATTGTTCTGAGTCATTTTATGATCTTATTTGGTTCTCACAGGCAGAAGTCATCTTTTTGGGCCAACTTTCTCATCCAAACTTGGTGAAACTGATCGGATACTGTTGTGAGGACAACCACCGGGTTTTGGTCTATGAGTACATGGCAGGGGGTAGTGTAGAAAGCAATCTTTTCTCAAGTATGATTACTTCACTCTTTTTCTCTATTATTGAACTCATATGCAAAGTTCATAATGAGCAGTGCAAAAAGAGAAGAAACTATAACATTGTCTTAATTTTCGCTCAGCTCATAGGTTATGCTTTTGCATAATAGAATTTCCTGATACAATTGAGCATAAGTTGAAACACTTCATCATCTGAGTAGCCTATGGATTAGATATGCCTCTATGGATCTTGCTGGTTTTCCTGATCAACTATGTTGTTGCTTCTGTGTCTTCATTCATATTGAGCCTACATCGGACTCGCCCAAGGAACTTGGGCTTTGCAGGTTGCCTTGCTTGAATCCTCCCAAACCTGGGTACATTTTGCTCTAGATTTTTTAGGGTATTATATTTTTAATATTTTTATTTTTGTCTATAATTTATCTTTTTCTGTGAAGATGATCTTTAACCAGTTTTCTTTATCTTTTTTTCTTTTTCCTTTTTAATTTTTTCTTTATCATCTTCAATGTACATTTTTAATAACAATCTTTTCTTTTTTGGACCTTTTTCTTTTTTTTTGCCATTTTCGAGCTTGGTGCGGACCCTGTGGTATTGACTCGGGCTTGCCCCAGTAACTTAGCCATGTCAGCGGCCGAGTTCTAAAACATTGCTTATCCATGAAGCCCACAAGGTGGCATGGACATATAATTAGAAGGAAGAGCATCTTGGCATCGAATGCTATTAGTTTGGCTATTTAATCATCACCATTTCAAATATTGTGGGCAAAATCCATTCTGATCATGTTCCAATAAAGAAACTGTTGACCCTCATCTCTCTCTCTTTCTCAATACAGTTACAAACATGCGGATTTTCTCTACTGCCAACCATTTTTTCCATAATTTATCTCTGCGTTGAATATTATTTAACCCAATTAATTCATTATTTTCCAAGCTAGAAAACATGCCTACCATATTCAATCACCCATTTTAGATCTTATAATTTCTATTGATGAGCCACATGTCACTGTCCATGTAATCAAAATGATTGATTGGATTTTTGGTTGTAACAGAGATATTACTGCCCCTTCCTTGGAATGTTAGAATGAAGATTGCTCTTGGTGCTGCCAGAGGACTTGCTTTCCTCCATGAAGCTGAGAAACCTGTGATTTATCGTGACTTCAAAACATCCAATATCTTACTAGATCAGGTTAGTAACAGTGAAAAATTTTATATTTTATATTTAAAATTTAATAAGAATTTAATTCTTGGATACCAACTCTTTGTATCTGAAAAAGAAACAAAAAAAAAACATAATGTGGTATGATCTTTATGCCTTATCTAATCGCCTGTGTAAATTATTCTTACATTTGTTATTTTTTTTCACTCTCAGGAGTATAATGCAAAGCTTTCCGACTTTGGGCTGGCAAAAGATGGACCAGTGGGCGATCAATCCCATGTTTCAACGCGTGTCATGGGTACATATGGATATGCAGCTCCAGAGTACATGAAGACAGGTACACCTATATTATGAGCATGGGTGGTACTCTCTGCTTCGCATCTCTATCTTTGTGTACCTATCAATTTTTCCATTCTTAGTATGTAAGGAATGAAAACTAATAAACTGTACGCCACTCTCATCGAAGAAATGGGAAAGAGTATTTATGCATATTCAGATACACAGTTTGCCCAGGTTTTGAACTTTCACTCATTGGACTACTCATATTACTTGGACATCTCCTACTTCTTTTGAGAGAGAGTTTATGCTACTGTATCTCTTACTCATCGCTTTTGTGTACAACTTAGTGTCTGGAATGATAAGTTCATACATCAAATCTGTGTGCTGGGAATGTGCAACAAGAACTTTGGTTGAGTCCCTTTCTGCAATAAAAATTTGAGATTATCTGGTCTCTGTTCCTGCAGTTAAAGCTAGATTAGATATCTCTCAGACCCTTGATTCTCTTTAATATTAGCAGCCCCTAGAACCTATTGTCTTCCATAATCTCTTACCGAAAGGAAAATAGAATTTGGTATAACATAGGGCAAACTGCTTATTTTTTCCAATCACAGGGGCACTCATTTAAAGAATGCGCATATGTATGTATGTAAATATGTATTTATATGGCATTTGAAGTACACGATATTTGTGCGATTTTTAAGCTCCGAGGAAAAATCAGACTTGACATTGACTTGATAACTTCCTTGGTAACAGGTCATTTGACCACCATGAGCGATGTTTACAGTTTTGGAGTAGTCCTTCTTGAGCTTCTCACTGGTAGATGGTCGCTCGATAAGACAAGGCCAAGCAAAGAGCATAATTTAGCAGAGTGGGCTCGGCACTTCTTGACTGAGAAGAGAAAACTGTTAAATATAGTTGACCCAAGATTAGAGGGTCTTTATCCAGTTAAAGGGGTGCATAAGGCTGCCATGTTGGCATATCACTGTTTGAATCACAACCCAAAGGCCAGGCCCCTCATGAGAGATGTGGTGGACACTTTGGAGCCTCTACAGGTTAGTGATAGGCCTCTTAATTTTTGAATTTCTACCAAAATTTTTATGGGTTATTTTCTTTTGTGGAAAATGGATATTGGTTTTTGTTTTAGTTTTATTTATTTATTTTTCATTACTCACTATCAGTTCTCAGGAATACTGACTTGGGCACAGTTCCTGGTATCTATACTTATCGAAGAATACGATAAGAAATTACCGTTGAGATTGTTAACATTAAGTTGTGACATCCAGGTTTTCTCGACTTCTTGTTGATTGTAGCCTTTGGCAGGGGATTTATTTCTTAGACATAAATTAGACTGATCTGGGTTGGTTCATTTTCTAACTTTCTTGCTCTCTTTTTGTTTATGTACACTGTATATGCGCATCATATGTACATGTATGTACAAATTCATGCACGTGATTATTTATGTTTATATGCATACGCACACACATGCACATGAGTGTGTTTTTTGTTTAAGACGGCTTCTTAGATAATCATCATAAGACGGCTGAACTCTTACCACCAATTCTTGATTAAACTAAACTAAGGTTGATGCAAACCTGGCTACAGTTAATCGACAGCACCAACTCTTAAATGGTTGATGGACAGCGAAGATTAGCCTTCTCATGGTTTCAATATGGGAAATCTTCTTTATGCAACAAGACATCCTTTTGTACCATTCTCAACCGAGATTAAACCGAGCGAACCCAGGTTGGCTGGTGGCTGCTCTCTTTCTTAACTGGTTGGTTCCTTTTGCCTATGTAACGGAGCAAAATCACCAATGAACACAGCCTAAACGAACCAACTTGTTTGGATCTGGACCAAACTTAAGGGACCATTTTATGTTCGAAGAAGTGTCATCTCCTGGTTGCACCAAAATGATCCGTTCGAAAACTTAATGAGGACACTTGGGTCAGGCATATTGCTTCCCTCAAAATGGATGGTTCTGTATCGAACCATGTGTCTTAGTTTAGTCTTGGTGTGGGCATAAACAGGTAGGGTCAGATCGGGGTTGACTCCGATCCTAGTTGGTCCCAAACGTGTTGGTCCCAAACGTGAACCACAAGGTCCTAGTTGGTCCCTCAGGACCGGTCAATTTTTGGTCCCATATCCGACCTGCAGGTTCCGGACCAGGACAAATGGATCAGGAGCCAACCTGCCCGGTCCAATATCCATGTCCAGAGCCAGACCTGAGTTGCGACATCTCCCATTTGCCACCCAATAAGTCTGAGGAGTACATTCTATTTAGCTAAGTTTTTCTTCAAATATGGAGGTGAAAAATCATGGCTTTAATCATCTAAGTCTTGAATGGAATTCTTTGTTGTCCAAGAAAAAGAAAAGAAATGGTCGATCGTCTAAGATAGGCTAATCGATGTGTGAGCAAGCAAATATAACAAAGCAAGGCTTGAAAATTGGAGATTTCGATTCCTCCTAAGTGCAAAGTCGACTGTCTGTTTAGTTATTTATCTTTAATTGGAGAGCTTATATAGCCTGAAATCATCATGATCAAAATCAAGAGAAGTTCATGTTCATTATGGGAAATGGCTTTAGCTCACAATATCACTACATATAAAAGGGAAATGTTAGAACATTGCAGCGTTTTAAAAAACGCCGAGTCGAACCGGACTCGCCCGGTTCGACTCGGAAATAGTGAAAAAGGAACCGGATCGCCCAAAAATCGGAAATCGTCCGGTTCTAGAGAGAACCGGACGATTCTGTACAGTGAATCGCCGATTCTCTGTACGGAATCGGCTAGTCCGAACAGTGAATCGGCGATTCCGTACGGAATTTTTTTTATTTTTTTATTTTTTATTTTTGGTAATCCATGATAGATTTTTTTGTAATCCATGATCGAATTTTTTGGTTTTTTGTAACCCATAATAGAATTTTTTGTAATCCATGATCGAAATGTTTGTTTTCTTTTCTTGTAATCCATGATCGATTTTTTTGTTTTTTTTTTTTTGTTAACCCATGATAGAATTTTTTGTAATTCATGATCGAATGTTTTGTAATATATGATCGAAATGTTTGTTTTTTTTTGTAATCCATGATCGAAATGCTTGTTTGTTTTTTTTTAATTCCATGATTGAATTTTTTGTTTTTGCTTTTTTGTAACCCATGAT